TTGTGACTGGACTTTTAAATACATATTATGATTTATAATAGTATGTATTATAATAATTGTAATGTATAATTTATGACCTGAATGTCCATGAAATCAAAAGGAAATTGTCAAGTTTCTGTTTAACGTTCTTGAGTGCACTCAATCACAGCCAGCCAGACAAGCACACGGGAACTTTAATCAGTCTATTCAACTCAATTTAATTTTATTTATACAGCCCCAAATCACAACAACAGTCGCCTCAAGATGCTTTAGATTGTAAGCTAGACCCAACAATCATATGATGAGCAAGCACTTTGGCGACAGTGGGAAGGAAAAACTCCCTTTTAGCAGGAAGAAACCTCAGTCAGAACCAGGCTCTGGGAGGGGCGGGGCCATCTGCTGCAACCATTTGGGAAGAGAGAAGGAGGACAGGAAAAGAAGTCTATTTTCTATCCAACAAGGAAAACGACGACATAGAGCAAAACCACATTTGGAGTACACAGCACAGAGAAAATCAGACAAATAACAAAGGAGGGAAGAGAACAATTGCAGTAAATAAAAACAAAGGAAGCCAAACAGGAAGAAACTAAAAGAGACGAAGGAGAAAACACAGACACTGATGCATCACACGCGGTCGACAGCCTACTTCTATAAATGTCTTTTAAACGTTTCAAGTTCGATGCTAAATTAAGTCTTCATTATCTCTATTATCTCTGCAGGGTTTTGAAATGGCTTGGTGATGTGTTTAACATGAAATCTTAAGCTAACTGTTTGGCTAACTGTTCGCCTTCTCCAGTTATCCTGATGAAACGTGAAGCTCGACGGCCTGGAGCAGAAGCTGTAGGAAGGCGCCATTCACTTTGTGATGGAGGAACAACGAGTCCTCGCCAAGCAGCATGTTTGTGGTGCTGGGTGTCGGCCAGCAGCGCTGGACACAAAAAGCTCGTCCGATCAAAGCAATCTGGGAATGCAAATGTGGCCTGAGAATGCACTCTTAATCCCCCTCCCATCATCATGCACGATGACATGTCTTTGTTTGTGGGAGGACAGAAGATACGTCCAAGTATGCGTAAGACAACGGTCAGAGTTTAATCTGCTGCAGAGACCGAGCACCCTCATCTACATCAACACTAACACACTGTCAGGTGTAATACAGCAAAACAAGCTCACATTCATTTACTGTGATACATCAGACACCTGGAAGTAACGAAATAAAATGTGTTTACAAGGAAACTCTGCAGAACCTTTCCAATTACAAGAACAAAGAAAAAGATAAAACACAGACGAGGACATAAAATGAACTAAATGAAGTTTAAATATTTCAGCCTTCAAAGATGGGCAGCAGCTCAGTCAGCAGTGGTTACACAAACTGATACACAGAAAAATACATACGAAATGTGAAGAAAATGTAAACTTCAAAGCTAAGGAGACATCAGAGTAAATGCACCTCCTCCTCCAAGATGAAGGCCAGAACGAAATCCAACAGCTCAAGGTTCACAACGCTGACACTCACGTGCTGTGTTCATGCTCACTAATCACCGCTTTTACTTTACCTTTCACGTGAAGTTCAAATGCAACACAGAAGAGCTCTGAATTTTTCATTTCTCCATCACGTCATATACAAAAATCTGAAATCTCCACTTTAAGGCAGATTGTCCTGCTTATGATCCTTTCAGACAACATAGGCCATGGATCAGGACTGAGAATAAAAAAGGAGTCATGCATGAGCAGAAGACGCCACTGTTTAGAGTTGCCTCCCGCCTCCCAATATTACTCCAGTGTGCAGAACTGTAAAGAGGACAAAACAAAGGATGCTGCTGGTGTAGGTGAGGCTGTGAAACGGACACACACTGCTTCAGCTGCAAATATCTTTTTTACCGTCTTTTCCCAGAAATTGAAACCTCCCCCCTAATAACATCATGCACATCATGAAAGACTCCAAGCATGGTCACCAGTGTTACCCATCAGCCTCCCAGTAGATGCACCTATGATAACACTTCCTTCAGGAGTATCACATTCACAAGAGTTTTGGAAAACTGACCTTGACCCTGAGGTCGAGGTCACAGAGATTCTAACTCATCTGAGACTTTTAGTAGCTGCACCTGTGGTGTAATTTCAAAATCCTACGTTGGCTCGTTCTCAAGTAACCACAAACCGGGGTGTCCACGCCACCCACCCAGCAGGGTGACAACAACACCTCTTTAGTCGTTTACAGCTGAGCGCTGTTGTGTCTGTCAGTCATTAAAAGACGAGACTTTATGACCCTGTCGTCGAAGCATTCCAGGTTTACTTTTCAAAGACATCTCTGCTCTCAAGTATCAGTACTATTGGATATAGACAGCACATGCATTCAGCATAAAATATCTGAGGTGTTTTTAAAACCTCATTTAGGAAAGAACTCAGTTAAGCTGATGGTTAATTAGGCCTGATTCAAATCACTGCAGAGCACAAAACACTGAGAGAAAGAGAAAAGCAGCCCAATGATGTCGCAACAATTAAAGCAGCACAAGAGCGGAGTCGTCTCGGTTTCAGTGCAGGTCACGCTGGTACTTAACTCATCAAAAAGGTATCACACCATTTTCATATGCAACGTAGTCCATGTAATGCCCTCAACATTTGGTAGCCTTACTCAGGCATACTAATGCAACACAATGCAACATAGCTCAAACAGCACAATCTTCTAAAAGAAAAGATAAATAACAAATCTTTCATTTTTTTCTTGCATAAACGTCTTTCAAACACCTGAAGATGGCAACTCAAGAGCAGATTAAGAAGTTTCCTTTAAAAAGATCTTCACAATTTACCCGAACCACACAGCCTCGCCTTCGCCCATGAACCTGGCAGCACACAACACGTAATCCTGCCTTTAATTCAGTTCAAGCTCATTAATGCAGCACAAATCACAACAACAGTCACCTCAAGGTGGCTTTATACTGCAAGGTAAATGCCCAACAGTGTTCACAAGACACAACAATCACACTTTACAGCGCCATCATGTTGTTTCATTGCAGTTGCACGCCTCTCTTCCTCAGTCTATGACTATATATCTAACCGGTGTGTTAGCTCCTTATAGAGGCAAAAGGATCTGTGAACGGTGCAAACAGAGAAAACTGCATTAAATGATACTGTAAAAAAACAAACGATGATGCATTCATCAGCCTGTGTCTGATGTTTTAAGGACATTTTTCTAACATATTTTCATATATTTCCTGACAGGAAACTCTTTGAACACCATTTGAAACTGTCACAAACATCCATCAGCTGTTAGTTTTTCTCCCTCTCCCTTCCACATTGTTCAACAAAAAAAAGAAAGAAAATGTGAAACAAGCTCAACCTTCAATCACTCTCTCCAAATTCAACCGTCTTAGACAAAACACAAAACCCCTCCGGGGGCTGGTTTGTTGTCACAGGCAGGCAAATGAAGAAGAAATGAGGAGGATGTTTAAAATGGGCCACACAATCACAAGCTCGTCATCCGAAAATAAAAAATAAAAAGAAGGCTGGCGCGCAGTGATGCGTTACCACAGTAACACATTTTCTCTGCAGAAAGCTGTCCACTCGCTCCCAGGAAAACAAAACCCCCCAAAAAGGACAAAGCAACCAACAAACAGGCAAAACAACTGCGAAGATCCCATGCACTGTAAACAAAAAAACAAATAAATAAATTAAAAAACGCCCGCCGTGACAAAAAACTTCATCCTGCAGTGAAACTCAGTTAAAGCAAACAAGCTGGCCAAGAGTATTCTAGTCGTCCAAATATCATCAGGAAAAATGAAACAGAAGTTTATTTCCTCCCATCTACTTGCTTCGACTGGCATCTTCACTCATTTCTGGGTCCAAATGCTTCAGTTCCAAAACAAAAACAAGCACAGACAATTGAAAACAGTCCAAATTTGTTTAGCTCCAATAAAAAGATGCGTGTGGTTGTTCTAACAGGTGTTACAGTAAAGTTTAGCATTCAGGCGTCGATGAAACGAGGATTTACAAAGTCGCTGCTCTAACGTTGAATCTAACATCGCTGGAAAACTTGTCAAGGATTAGCTTATGTACAGTTTTGATATGACGTGGAGTCCTGCGAAAAACTAGGCACGCCATATGATTTAAATAGTTTAATCAACAACCTTTATTGATAATAACTTGATCAAATGATCAGTTTCTGTGGATAAAATCTGTCCCACTCTTCTTTGCAGCATCACTTCATTTTTGCACAGCTCTCTTGAGGTCCGGACTTTGGCTGGACCTTCGCAACATTTTCTTTTTCAGCCATTGCTGCTGTGCTCGGGATCATTGTCCTGTTGCATGACTCAGTTTGGGCCAAGCCCAAATCAATACGCCTGCAGCGCCGCGCTGACCGTCTGTGCTGTATGAAGTGCTATGGCCAAACGTCTCCACTTCCAAACAAGCCATATTTGTTCAATCTTTTCTAATTGTACTGTCATGAATGTAATATTGTATGACAGGAAAAGAAAGAAAAAACTCGGGTTTGTGCAGTCTGACATGTACTCTGGGGTGTTTTGCAGTTTCTCTGGGCATTGCATGATCTGACTATGGGATGAATTTGCGAGGATTTTCACTCGTGCTGTAATGTTTGCACGTGCCTGAATGCTCCAGACCAACAAACTGCTTTTATAGAGGTGCTTACACTTGCTGATGATCAATTAATTAAGGGCATTTAATTAGCAGCACCTGGGTCCTACCAGGCTGAGAAGAAACCAGGCTGAGAATGGCAATTAAATAGGTCTGGTGGGCTTGTGCCAGTTTAAAAAAAAAACGGAGCACTGGAGAATATTAAAGAGACGAGACTCCCATCCATCATAAGGAAACATTTGAACCCAGAAATGGGGTCATTATGTCATTAGCTAACGAGCAGATAAAATTCATTCCCCTCCCCCGAACGTAGAAATAAAGATAACAGTTTAATCATCACTGCAGAAGAAGTTTGCTGCAAAGACAGACATTCTCTGGCAGGGTGATAAAGTGCATACATCATGACCTGAATTACAAGCAGTGGCGGGACTTACGTTCTCCTTCCCCACGATGTTGTCAAAGGGGAGCTCGGGGCTCCACGAGGCCTCGTTAAAGGTAGCGCTGCTGGCTCGACGGTCGGCCGAGCTGGCCGCCTCCTTCATGATGTCCTCCGGCAGGGAGAGCAGACTCTCCTCGGGCTGCTTTATCAGGTACGTCTCGATGTTGTGGCGGCGAAGGAAGTCGTTGCGGTCCTTCCCGTGGCCTTCCTCCACCTCGTAGTCACCGTTTAAACAATCCAGAGCTGCCTTAGAGATGTGGATCCTCCTGAAATGGAGAAAAAACATACATATTTGAAACATCTTTTGCCACTTTAGCTCAGTGGGTGAGAAGGTAACCACAGGCCACAGTGGTCTGGGTTCAAGTCTGACCCACAGTCCTTTGCTTCGTGCTTGCTCTCTCCCCACTTAATGCCTGCACTTACTATCCAGTAAAGATAAAAAAATGGCAATATACATATATATAAACATCATGCCCAAAGGGAAAGAAGTATCCATAGATATAGATGTAATCATGTCGCTGATTAGATGTAAATCCATGATTCAGTTCTGGCTTTGTCTTGCTTTTGTCTTCTGTTTCCTGTACTTTGTGTTTTATTGTGTGTGTTATTTGTGGTCTCTCTATTCATTTTCTCTTCTCTTTCCCTTCACCCACCCAACCAATCGAAGCTGCCCCTCCCTGAGCCTCATCCTATTAGAAATCTTCTTTCCCACCATCACATCAAGAGCAGCTCATTGGAGTTCTCTTGCTAAAATTGCAGGATCTTCCCCTTACATGTACTCTGAGATGACCGCTTTGACTAGAATTCATTTGAACTGAAGTGAATCCATGACATAAATAATTCCTGTGAAAAACATTTGCTGTTCAATGTTTCACTTTCTTCACCAGGTACTGATTTTTTCTTGAGGATCTTTTTTATATTGTGAGGTCAACACCTACAGTAACACAGAGAAAATCCCAATGATCAGATCACACCTGTGAGCAAGCGCTTGGCTCAGCAACCAGTGGAGATGCATTTAGTGATGACTGGAACAAAATTCCACCTCAGATACACATTTGATGAACATTACGTAACATATGGGCGACAAACATGAACGTGACATGAAACAAACACTAATGTAGAATGTAACATCACATTCACAGGAGGGTGATGAATGTGAAAAATCAAAAGAACTGGGATTTATAATAAATGCTTTTTTAATACATATAGATGTTAATAATCACTATATACGTGATGATGCTCGAGCTCGATTGGCCCACCTGTTAAGGAGAAGATACATACAGATATAGACATACAAATTTGCTTCCGTTCTAATTTGCAGCACGAGGTGACGGGTGAAAAAACGAGTCAGATCATATAGAAGTTTATGGGAAAAGATGCTTGCAGGAAATGTTAAATCAGTACTTAGAGAAATAATCTGCCTTTTAAGGTCAAACAGGAACAACAGGAACGTGAAGATTAAAAAATTCCCATATTATGCCACAAAACTATCCTTTTAAAAACTATATGAGGGTGGATAAAAATAAATGACCGAGGGACTCAGCATAATCGCATCTCCTGCTCGGCTCTGGCCATGACATATCTTCACCAAACATCCGTTTGCTTTCTCTGGAGCCATGTTTTATGTGAGTGATTTTTCCGTCTGTCCACTGCCAATAATCCAACTGGAGATAAAAACAGCCACAGAAAATTCCTTCCGTTTCCTCACCCTGGGATGCCTCCAGACTCCAGCTTGTTGGCGATGTCCACATCCCAGGACCAGACATCGAACTGCCACTTCCTGAGTCCCAGCACGCCGCACAGTACCGAGCCGGAGTGGATCCCAATACGCATGTCGATGTCGTGTTTCGTCCGTGATCTCACGTATCTGGAAGAAAGCGGGAAAAAAGCGGTTAATTTTTGGCATAGTACTCTTATATAAATCAGGACTACGGCGCTAAAGTAATGTAACTGAGAAAAAACTGAGAAAACTAGCTGATTTTTGGCAAGAAGAACGAACAAACAACAGACAGAGGTTGCAACTGACTGGCTAGCCGCTCCATGTTTGTTAATACAGTGGAAAGAGAAGATTAGCTGTACAGCTTTGCTTTGTGCCATTACAGGGTTTACTGATGGCTGCAATAAATCCCAAAGAACGGGAAAAAAGAACATGGAAGTCTTAGGTTTGTAAAGGTTTGTGCTCTGGAAGAACAAGACCAAAATGGAGAAGTTTATCCATAATGTAAAGCACAACATTTAAAACTAACCAAACACCCCATACCAACGGTCAGCACGGTGGTGGAGGGCTGACGTTTAGGACTTGTTTTGCAACAACAGGACCTTGGCACGCCACAGCCCCTAGAGTTAAATGCCATCGGTCTCAAACTGCAAAGATCACAAGAAAAGCAGCACATCTACAAATCTACAGCAGAGTGGCTGAAAAAGAAGCAAACCAAGGTTTTGCAATGCTCCACTCAAAGACCTCAATCTGACTGAAATGCTGTGACACGCTGTTGAGAGAGTTTAACTAAACTCAATGAAAAGAAGTTACGTCAAAAAATCCTCCACAACGATGTGAGAGACTGATACAGTCATACAGCTATTAACGCTAAAAATGCTTCTAGAACAGGGGTGGGCAACTCCAGGCCTCGAGGGCCGGTGTCCCTGCAGGTTTCAGATGTGTCCTTGAACCAACACAGCTGATTTAAATGGCTAAATTAGCTCCTCAACATGTCCTGAAGTTCTCCAGAGGCCTGGTAATGAACATGTTTAACTGTTTCAAAATACAAAGTAATATATAATGTGGTGTGTAAGTGGACTGGACCACTTACATGAGCATGAAAATACAATGAAAATAAAGCGCTGTGAGGCTGTGAATAAACACACGCAGGTATGTATATTTGAGTTTAAAAAAGCTGATCTAATTGACTTCAGGGGGACACGTCTGGCATTAATTTAAAAATATTTCAGGGGTCACTTTGGGTCGTACTGTGAAAAACACTGACGGCATTAATTCAGCAGATTAATATACATGAAACTGACCTTTGGTGAAACTAAAGAAACACAGAACACAGAGACAGATAATGCTGCCAGGCAAACACCGTTCAAGTCCACCAAGAAATGAACACAAAAGAGTTCAGGCATATCTGTGGCACTTCAACAAAAGAGGTAAAACTGTTTCTGTAGACTCGTCGCACCTGTTAATAAATTACTTTCTCATTTCGTACTTTTTTTTCCCTGAAACACAATAAAAGCAGGACAGAGTGCAGCTGATAACAGCCTCCGAGGAGCAGACAGGCCTGTCACGCCTCTTCCTCCCTCCTGGCGTTATTTCATGCTTCATAAGAGCCGCAATGAATGTGAGGTGAAAGGCATCCTGGGTGTTTGTGACAGGTGGTTAAAGTCAGTCAGCTGCTAGACGACACCTGGAGTAGAAATTAACAAAGAACCTGCAGCTAACGATGAAGAGGAGAATGAAGATGCTGTGATACTGTGTTGACTCTGCCGGGAAGTTCTTTCCATATATATATATATATATATAT